GGTTTTTGGACTCCTAACCTAGTAGATGCAAATTTCTGATATCAAGTCTATAGTTAACTTTACTCTTAAACTAGCCCATTCTCCTAGGATAGTTTGGATACTAGTGTATAATAAAAAATTGTTAATTCAAAAATGGCAATGTGGTTTTACGACTGTATGTTGATTGTTATTTCCCCAATATATTAACTTCTATTGGATGAAAATGTTTTCTGTAAAGCAGAATTATGAAACAGTTTAGACAGCACAGTGTGATGGCAAGTCAATGGCAAGACACTGCCCACAATGGAGTCCACATGCCCAAAGTGACGAGGCTAATAAAATCAGGGGAGGGGCTAGAACTGCCTGAATCTCCTTAAGTGCGTATATTTCACAACTGTGGTGCCAAGAGTAAGAGCTAAACGAAAAGGAGAGCATGAGGACGTCTTTCTGGTGAAACAATGTTTTTCTCTTACAAATCTGAAATATTTTCTCTTTTGTGTTATATTAATTTTTCCCCTTTGGAAATAACAGGGTTTCATCTTCTGCCGAATGATTTCCCCCTTTTGATTTCTGCATCAAATGAAAGTTAATTCCTTCACCTGGTTCACATAGACAGTTCCACAGGCTTAAACTGCATGATAAAAGAGGTTCAAATGGACAAATTTTTTCAGTAGGGGAAAATGGTAAAATTGCCAAGCTGAAATTTAAAAGAAATTTTTGTGTGTGTAGTTTTCATGGAATTGAAGGTGAAGGAACTGATAAGCCACACAATTTGAAGGCAATAAGACATATCTCAGTTCACGGGCTGTATGAAGTTTCCTCTCTCCATCCTGGGGGATGAGATCCATGCCATTTAGTAGTTCTGGGACCAGGGACAAGTCACTTCTACTTTTGGAGGGGGACTCAGTCACCATGACTGTCAGTAAAGAGTCGCAGCTGCTGTTGACAGGGCTCCTGAGAGGACTGAAAAGGACTGAACGGAAAGGATCCTTGGTGTTTGCCTTTGTCAGCAAAACCTCAGGAGAACCTCCACCAGTAGCTGGTGATGGAGAAAGAAGGAAGTGAAAGTAAAATCAAGCATTTTTGTTGCTATTTAAAAGCCACCCTAGGAACAAGCCTTGCAGGGTAAAAAGTTGAAACTAAATGAGGCTTTCAGTTTTCTGTGGGTTTCAGTGATTCAAATTAGCCTGAGGGCTCCCCTTTTGTCTCTCTCCGTGTAGCAGTGGTTACACCCGGGTTGGCAGGAGATAAAATGCTGCTGTGCACACAGAAACTGCTTGTGCATTAGCCAGGGTCTCTCCGAAGGTAAAGTGCCTGAGCCACTTCCATTTTTTCTTTTTTAATATTCCTGGTATGTTAAAAAGTGCAATGCCAAAACAAAATTACAAACATTGTGATGCATTTTTCCAACAGAGACATTTATGTTTAAAAAAAAAAAAACGAGTAATTTTAACACACACATTTAAACAAGTGTCACATTAATTATCTTGTTTTTCAAAAGATGATAGCATGCATAAGAAATATTTATTTAGGGTATGCAATAGAGAATGAGACGCAAACTTAAGTGTGATGAATATATATATGTGTGTGTGTGTGTATATATATATATAGGCTCATTGGGAGTGATGCCAAGCCTCTGTGTGACACCCTCTCAAATCTGAAAGTCTGGGTTAAAAGGCTCCCCTGCCCTCCTCCTCCCAGCTCCTCAGCCTCCAGCCCCAGCACTGAGACTTAACTGTTAGTATGCAATTATGACTCGGAAGCAGGGAGGAAGAAAGTAAGGGATTATGGGGAGGTCCATTATGGACTTCTTTCACAGATATTTTTCAAGTGCCTCCTACGTTCACAGTGTTGCCATTCAGCTCATATTCAGGGTTTGAATGTGGGCAGTTTTATTCTCTATTTGTGTTATCAGGCCTTTCTAAACCTCAGTGGTCTCATCGGCTACGTCACTTGTGAGGAACCTCACTGGAGGTTGTGAGGATTCGATGACGCACACACGTAAAGTATGACAACAGTGCCTGGAATGGTGAACAAGCAGTACAAAAGTCATTGTGCCCAAAAAAGCTTAAATTCCAGTTCCTCACTCCATTCTCCCCTCTGCAAGCCGGTCTACCTGAAACAAATGCCTTGCAGTATCTAAAGATATTTGGTAAAATATAGATGAATAGTACTCCACGGATAAGGGTGGGGGGAAAAAGCATCACTATTAACAAAACTCTTAAAATTCGTTAATCAGTCACTCAACAAGCAATGTGTTAGGCATTGTCTAGGGGCTCCCGTTATCATAGTGATCAAACCAGATATGGTCCCATGCTCATGGCTGGGAGAGATATTACATACGTAAGTCATTTTGCATAATGTCAACTTTTTGTTAAAGTATAAAGTACATACAGAAATTGTAGGAATAATAGCACACAGTTCAATTAATTTTCATAAAGTGCACACACACACACACACTCATAGCCAGATCAAAATCAGAATCTTACCAGTATCCCAAATACCTCCCTCTGCCCCCTTACACTCATGGCACGCACACTCACGCACACACACACACACACACACACACACACACACCATCCCACCCCGGGTAAATATTATTCTGACTTCTAAAACCACGGATTACTTTAGCTTGTTATGTTTAGTTTATTCTCATTCCTGCATATTATTCTCCTGTATTAATGAATATACCATTATTTGTGTATCCACTCTACTGTTGGATATTTGGGCTGTTTCCAGTTTGGGAATATTATAAATACTACTACTGCACTTGATATTCTTGTACGTACCATTTGTCGGACATATGCATGCATTGTGTATACACTCCGGACTGAAATCGCCAAGTATAAGGCTTGGGTATAATCAGTTTTAATACACGCTAACAGCTTTCCAAAGTAGTAACAATTTGCACTGTGTGCAAAGTATGAGAGATCTGGTTGCTGTACATTGTGGTTGCTCCACAGCGTATGAGAGATCTACATTGTCTCATCTCTCTCACTTTAGCCATTTTGGAGATCTGCTAAGGCATCTCCTTTCTGATGTTAATCTGCGTTTCCCTAGTGACTGACTAATGCAGTCCAATGCCTTTATATATGTGTATCTTCTGTTTGGATATCTTCTCTTTTGAAGTATCTATTTTGACTTTTGCCCGTTTTTGTATTGAGTTCTCTTCCTTTTTCTTACTGACTTGAAGGAGTGCTCTTTACAGTCCAGATAATAAGAGACCTTTTACAGGAATATGTATTGAAACTCTCTTCTACTGGTCTCTGGCTTATCTTTTCACTCTCAGTGGTATTGGAAGAATTGATGTTCTTCATTTTAATGGAATCCAATTGATCAATACTTTTTCCCTTTATGGTTACTGCTTTTTTGTGTCTCAAGAAATCTTTGCCTGAGGCTGTTCTTGGGGAGGCAGCTAGTACAAGACTGGGAAATTGTTACGCACTCTGTTGCCTGGACCAGCAAACAGTACAGTCAGGAGAGCAAATGGTGTCCCCAAGAAACCAAAGGGCAAGATGCCTACTCATGCCCTCTTTGTGAAGATATGCTGGGAGGGACATATGAAGAAAAATCCAGAGACTCCTGTGAACTATGCATTCTCCAAATGCTCTGGGAGGTGAAATACAGTGGGTGGGAGAGAGAAATGCAAATCTGATGAAATGGTAAAGGGCACGATGATCAGGAAATGAAGGTCAGCGACCAGCTAAGGGAGACAAGAAGAAAGATCATAATATCCCAAATGTTTTCATACCCCATCTGGCTTCCTCCTTTTCTACTTAGACCTCTGTGCAAGATCAAATCTACACACCCAGGCATTTTCATTGAGGATGTGGCCAAAAAGCTGGTGATACGTTACGGTATGCAGGATTCCTAAAATTCGTCCACAAAGATATTCTACCTTAATCCCTGGAACCTATGGATGCGATGAGACGTCACTCACAATATGATTGTGTTCTATGGCAGAGTTGGTCTTAAAACAGGAGATTATCTGGATGGGCATGATGTAACCAAGAAAACCTTTCCAAGCAGAGACCTTTCTCCAGCAGGTGGAAGAGGAAGTCAGAGAGATTTGAGGAATAAAGGGGGTTTGCCTTCAAGATGTAGGAGGCTACCTGAAAGGAATCCAGGAAACTTTACAGAGCTGAGAGAGGGCTCTGGCCAAGAGCCATCAAGGAAACAGGGTCCTCAGTCCTACAACCACAAGGAAATGAATTCTGTCAGCCACTTGAAGGAGCCTAGAAGTGATGTCTACTCAGAGCCTGCAGATGACGATTCAGGTTGGCTGATAACTGGATTTCAGCCTTGTGATTCCCTGAGCAGGGATCCCAGTCATAACATACCAGACTTCTGGTCTACACGACTGTGAGCTGATCAACGGGTGCTGCTTTAAACTGCAAAGTTTGTAGGAATTTGTGACACAGTGCTAGAAAACAAAGGATGCGGAATAATTTGAGTGATACTGAGAAGCCCCCTTATGATGAGGCAACAAAGTTGAAGGAGATGAGTGAGAATGATGTTGTCAAACAGTCTAAAGGAAAATGGGAAGAAGGGGCCATCTAACATTCCCTGGGAAAAAGAGTGCAGGAGGGCGATGAAGAGTATGAGAAAGCGGTAAGAGGATGAGGAGGAGAGTAACTAATAAAACCTGTGAAGTGACCCACCTCCTCTCTGAGAAGGTGTCTGCGGCTCTCCTTGAGTTTGGTTCCACAACTGGAAATGGTCACACCGTAGTTTTTGAAGTGCTCTAGACATTGCAGGTGGTTTCCCGGAAATGCTTATGGATGTCAAGAGCACCCGAAAGTCCCATCAAAGGTGTTCATATTTATAAATGTTTTTAAAATAAAAAGACACTCTTTTGTTGTCTTCATTCCATCAACTTGAGATTTGTGTGAATGGGCAGTTAAAACCTTCCTGGGATGTAAAAAAAAAAAATGTATTTGGAAGGTAGTGCTATCCGTTAGAAATCCTGTTAGGAACCGTAGAACTCTAGTTTGCTAAAAGGACACAACAGACTAGACCTCACGTGGTCCCCGCTGGGTAGTGTAATGTGGGAGGTTGCACCTCGTGTGGGGGGTCCGGGGACGAGGACAAACCTGCTGATGCTCCTTCCGGTTGTCTTTTTCCACAGAGTGCCAACATCCCGCAGACGTTCTTAGTCGTGGAAAAGGGCTATCGGCCGGCAGGAGACGTGTTCTGGTTCTTTTGGTGAAATCTGGTAGTTTGAAAACGAACCGGACAACTCTTCATGGTCAGAAAAGTGACCAGCCACTGCCTCCATGAAAGCGCAGAAGCCATCTGACCTTAAAACACAATTTGCAACGTTCTGTTATTTATTATTTATTTTTTTCAGTACGTTGAGAATGCGAAGACTTTCTTTTCGTGTAAATGTTTCCACTGAAGCATAATGTAATACAGACGAGTGCATGCACAGCCGGCATGGAGCCGTACGAGTTTTCATAAAGTGAACACACCTGCATGACCACCAGCCAGGACGAGCCCCCCTCCCTTCATTCAGACCCCCTCTCCGGTTACAGCAGCCCCTTCTCGCCAAAGATAGCCTCACTTCTCACTCTTAATATGACAGTTTTCGATTTCTCCCAGAATGCTGAGATGTTTTCGAAGCAAAATGGAGTATTACATTTTTTTAACTGGGGGGGGGGGGGGGGAAGAAATTTTACCTCAAGTTCATGGAGATCCTTTCCTGTTTCCTTTGAGAAGTTTCAGTCTTAACCTTTCCCACCTTAGTCTTGACCCATCTAATTTAATTTCCGGTATGGTGTGAGGCCGGATAACAGCCTAAACCTGGCCCAATCAAGAGCGCCGCGTCCCCACCCGGCCCCGCCCCTCGGCTGGTCCCGAACTCCCGTTTTGCTCTCGCGAGACGCTGCTCGGAGGCCGGCTGCGTCTCTTTGGGTCTGTGTTCCTCCTGTGTCCCCGTTTGAGGACGTGTCTTCAAGGGAAATGCAGCTGTGTGTTTGCGTCCCAGCCCTTGTATCTTTTAGAAATGCTTGGTTTCTCTGTCCCCAGCTTCTCAGCGTCTGCCGGGACCAAGAAGGGAGGACTGTCCACGGGCTCGGGGCTGCGGAGTCGGCTCTCCTCTTGGAGGGCCCCACGCTCTTTTTAGCGCTGACAGTTCTCCGCTTTCTTCCAGCAGGTGATACCCGCCGTGAAGTTGACCTTTCTCGTTTTGCTGGAGGGAAGGGCCGGTCAGCTGCAAGTTACTACGCACGCACACATCACTTACGACAACAGATACGTTTTTCACTGTACTTGTGATAAAATTGTGAAGGAAAGCAAGCCCGCGTGTCCTACTATATTAAGAGGGAATATGAGGAGTCTCTGGTTTAAAAGTTCAGTCTCTCTTTTTTTTTTTTGAATTGAGATATCATTGACATAGAAGATGGTGTAAGTTTAAGGTGTACAGTGTGTTGATTTGACACATTTACGTATTACGATATGATTACCCTGGCAACATTGGCGAATACCTCTATCCCATCGCATAATTATCATTTCTTTTTTTGTGGTGAGAACATTTAAGATCTAGTCTCTTGGCAACTTTGAAGTGTAGAAGACAGTATTGTGGACTATAATCACCAATGTGTGCGTTCGATCTCTCGAACTTGCTCATCTTCTGGTTGCCGAGTTCAGACCCTTCAACATCTCCTCAATTCTTTCACCCCCTAGGCCCCGGTAACCACCATTCTACTCTTTCTATGATTTGGGGTTTTTTAGATTCTAGCTGTAAGTAACAGTATACAGTCTTTCCCTGTCTGACTTATCTCACTTCACGTGACGCCCTTAATTTCCATTTCACCACATCCTCTCCAACACTTGTTTTCTCTGTTCTTCCTCTTGATAGTCATTCTAACAGGTGTGAGGTGATATCCTACTGTGATTTTGATTTGTATTTCCTGATGATTAGTAATGTTGAGCGTCTTTTCATGCGACTGTTGGCCATTTAGATGTTTTCTTTGGGAAAATGTCCACTTAGTTCCTCTGCCCATTTTTAAATTGGATGGTTTGGTGGGGTTTTTTTGCTATTGAATTGCATGAGTTCCTTATATATTTTGCATATTAACCCGTTATCAGATATGGTTTGCAAATTTTTTCTTCCATTCCATAGGAATTTTGTTGATGGTTTCTCGCACTGTGCTGAGCTCTTTAGTTTGATCACTGTCTTCTATAGAAGCTGCTATAATTTCTCAAAGCACACCTGAGCCCTGAGCACATCAACAGTGTATTAGCAGAAGAAGCCAGCAGCTTAACATGTAATCCCACTTTCCCCATCAGTCCTTCATTTGGAACAAGTAATTTAGCCTCTCAAAGTCCCAATTTCCCTGATCCTGGCATTTCTTCTTCACCTTAAGAGCAGGATCCTATCTTTTAAGTGCTTTAAACCCTTGGAACAAAATGCAGTCTCTCACTGACTTGGGTAATTTGAAAAGAGGTGCCACTGAAAAAAATGTTAACTTCTTTAAAATGGTGAATATATGCTTGAAAATCAAGACAGTATTTTTTTTTTTTTTAAGGTAGGGAGGAAGCAAAAGAAATTCCCATAAAGCTACATACGACCCAAAAGGTACTGAGAGACAATCCCTAGAGAAAGGATATCTAAGGCAAATGTCACTGCCTTCACACAATTTCTTCTATGGTTACTTCCAACTCCACTCCAGCAGCTGGAATATGGCCACAGATTTATAGAAGAACTCCTTTGTAGGAATTGTAATTAAAAGCCAACAATTAATATTATCATATGGATAAAGGCTGAGCTTATCTTGATAATATCCTGGGATGGATATTCAATGGAGTTCAGGGCACTTTGTTTCGTGCTTAAATTTGCAACTGACAATGTCTAGTGATCAAGAAAGTTTTCAAAAACAAAGCTGAGGAATGGATGAAGGCCAAGGAGTGAGTGGGATGATCCTTAGGTAAAGAGAAGGATGTGCTTGCTTCCTGGCAGCTGGCCTCCAGCTGATGAAACTGTAATACTGTAGGACAGTCAGGGACCTCAGTAATCTGAGTGATCACCCCTTTGGGAAAAAATACATACATAATTAATTGAAATTCCCTTCTAAAGCAGGGTCAGAAGAAAATGAATGTTGTCAAAGGGGAGCCAACACCAAGAGATAACCTCAGCTAATAGAGGATGTGATGGCTCAGAAGATAAACAAAATAAAGTGTAGGAGAACTGCAAGAAAAACAAATGAAGGGAAATAGGGAGGGAATCAAACACAGGATGAATTGGAAGGAAGTGACTACTTGGGGACAAGCCAGGGGAAAATATGAAAAAAATAAAATAAAAGAGCTTACTTCTCTGGTGGAGGATGATGAAAATGGGGGAGACTCTGCAGGTGTGGGTGCGGGAGGAATATGGGAAATCTCTGTACCTTATGTTCAATTTCACTGTGGGACCAAAAACTGCTCTAAAAAAAATAAAACTAAATCTTTAAAAAAAAAAAAAAGGAACTTAGAAAAAGCCAATCACACACAACACTGATTGCTGGGGTTGGAGGAGGAGTGTTGGCATTCATTAGAAAAGCATCTTATTCAAAGGCTTGGACCTTGATCTCTTTTTGATTTAGCAGTAGGGACAACTCTCTTGGGATTTGGGCTCAAGGGGAAAAAAAAAGAAAACACAGAAACAGCCATGCTGAACAGAGAGAGGCCACAAACAGGGGAGCGGACAAACTACCACAGGAAGTCTCTCAAGAGGGTCCCTCTCTTTCTCTATCCTTAGGGTTCTACCCCTACTCCTTCACATCCTCTCCTTCATGTTTTGCCATGCTTCGTCATTCTTTCATGAGACTGTCCCACTGGTCACTTCTGTTATTTTATACTCCTCATCCAATAGGAAATAGGATAATAGCAATAAAAGCAAAGGTTGATGATAATATATATTATTATATATTACATGTATTATATAATTTATAATACGTACCATTGCATATTATATATCTTAGTACATATTACTATTGAGGATAAGCATATACCATTCTCAGAAGTCTTCTTTTGACTCCAGATCTGAGTTTTATCTTGGCACTTGAAGGCTCATAGTATTTTAAAAGACATTCTAACTCTTGCTGGATCTCAGAATACCCATTTCTGAACTTGTACAATTTCTATGTTACCATTATTTTCAAGTACATATTTCCTACATTATAGTACAATGAAACTGTCAAGCAAGTTATAAATATAATGATACTTTGTACTTTTAAGTATTATATTCCTGGAGCCAGAATTTCCCAAGCTTCCTTGCAAGCCAGACAAGTACTATGTATTTGCAATTTTATAGCTGAGAAAACTGAAGTATAGAGAAGTTACGAGCTTGAGCCAGTGCCTTACAGCAAGTCAGAAATAAAACTGGAATTTAAGAGAAATAAGTCACACTCAACATTGGATTTCCTGTACAGAGAAACGTGAAATAAGAAGGAAAAATTACACATTAGGGCTGTGAAAGTTTTTAATCAAGTTTATGTATTTACCAGTTAAAAGCTAATATTTCATAAGCAATGACATTTAAGAGTACTACTAATAAAGAATAATGTGGTTTTATTTTCGTAATTTGCTTCTTGATTGCTGATGAAAATTTGTCATAAAAACATAAATTTTCATGCTTTTAGTGCAAGTGTGGAGAAAATGAAGTGAGCTTAAAAAACAGTTATTAAATTTGTTTCATTCAGGTGTGGATTTACGCTGGCAGATTCCATGTTATCATCTAGCTTTGGGGGAGATGAGAAATCAGTTAAAATGATGTCTGTAATTTTCAAGGGTCCTTTAAGCTGCTATTAAAGGTAAAGCTGCATGCTTTAGATTAAAAAAGACTTTGTCAACAGTCAAAAACATAGGGCATTTGCTTCAAATTCCTAGATCCTATAGTTAGGCAAACCCAAGCATGAGATTTCTGGGCTAACTGGCATTCCAATCCGGAAACTGCTAGAGAACTAAAGTCTGATGCTATTGTGGAAGGGTGGGGAGGGCAGGGAGGGGTGGTGAGTAGGGATTTGGAATATGGAATTTGGTCTGGGGTTTGCTCCGAGGTTGTGTCAGACCCACCCAATCAGTGCAGTGTGGCAGTGTCCCACCTGTCACCTTCCAGCTTTCACTAGTGAATTGCTGGGCTGCACCCACGAAATTCTGCACCTCTTTGTAATGCACAACGCCTAGCACTAGGCTGTGTTGATTTCCTGGAAAGGAAATCAGATTTGAGGTGAGATGACCCACATCTCAATCCCGTGCGGGCTGAGTGGCTTTGAAGGAGTCACTTTGACCTTTTTGGACCCCAGTTTGTCTTCTATACAAGAGGGATAACAGTATCTCACAGAATTCTTTCTCTGTGTCACACTGATGCCTTCTGCTTCTATCTCCCTTTTGCTTCTAGCACTTAACTCCTGAGAGCTCTCTTTAACAAGCTATAAAATATATACTGTCATTGGAGCTGGCTCAGGTCACAGGCCTCTGTGCTAAGTTTAATGCTCTGCTGTTGTCTTCAAGTTCTTAATTTTCAAACACATAGCTTGAATTTTCCATTTTGCACTAAGCACTACAAATTATGTAGTCAGGGCTACCCATTACCTTTTTCTAACTAATGAAAAAAATGCCTGATTTTGGAATTTCTTGGAATTTGCTTCATTCCAAATCATCTGCTTTGAGTATCCCTATGTAGCACGTAGTTATAAATTACTATTTTTGGTTAAAATAGTTTGTATTCAATATATGGTTTATACGTGTGTGTGCTTTCCTGATAAAGCAAAAAGCAATATTCTGACCCAATGATTGATTCTCTCTAGACTATTTAGATCCTGAATTTCTTTTTAAAAATTTTTTTTATTATTTATTTTTGAGAGAGAGAGAGAGAGCAGGGGAGAGCATAGAGAGGGAGACACAGA